ACAAACAAAATAAAAAAAACAGAAAATCCAGAGACGGATAAGATTAAGATCGTCAGAGAACAAACAAAATACAAATGAATGAGATCGTCAGCTACGGATAATATAGCCGGGAGGGGGCGGGGGAGGAGGCGAGGGGGGAGGGGGGGGGCGGGGGCAGGGGGGAATCCAGAATAACACAAAACAAAATGCACAATACTAGAAATCATGTCCAAATGCAGAATAATACGACATGGATAAGATCGTCAGAGATCATTCAATCCAAACACGGATTTGGGCCTCGCTCCGCCACTTACCAAACGTGCAAAATGAGAATGCATCTTCCGCTAGAACATGGAAAGGTACATCACCATAATTTGTCCTTTGTGAATGTGGTAAGTGGTCGAGCGAGGCTCTTTCCCCCGTTCCCCCTTGAATCCCCTCCCTCCTCCTCCCTCTCTCTCCTCCTCCCTCCTCCGCTAAGACTGCTACGCGTTCATACGGTTCCCAAAAAAAAAAAAAAAAAAAAAATGTTGCCAAAAAGAAAAAGGGCTAGCTTATGTGTCATTGTGAGAATTTGTGACAATATTTTTTTTCAATAACCATCACGATAATAATAATAAATAATAATAATAATAATATAAAAGTATACGTATAAGGAGGAGGAGAAGAAGGAGAAGGCAGAAGGCAGAAGGCAGAAGGAAGACGAAGAAAGGAGGAAACGGAGGAGGAGGAATGGGAGGAAGAGGGGAGTAGGAGAGCAGGAAAAAACTACAGCTTTCTCCCTCGAACACAATGCCCCCTCATTATGACTGTATTTGGACCGGAATAGGGTTTGTAGACGTTCATGATCTTTGCAATAGAACAGAAAATAGGAATGAAAGTAGGGAACAAAAACAAAAAACAAAAAACAAAAAAAAAAAACAAAGACGGAGTTCCTACTTTTTCAAATGGCTGAGAAGCTCGTCCACCGTCGCTCGATCGACATCCGCAAAAAGAATGGGCTCGTCTGGACTGGTGCCCAGTGCAGGACCGTTTCCTGATCGGGAAAGCCGAAGGTGACCGCTTGGTTCACCGTAGAGAAACAGATCGTACAGAAAGCGACCCTGATTTAAGATGTAAAAGGGAAAAAAAAAAAAAAAAAAAAAAAAGACAGTCCAGTTAGTTGACAGCTCCGGACCAACGAAAAAAACAGATGGAGATAATAACGATATATATTGTCACACTGTAAATCAGAGCGCGGAGGCGGAAAAAAGCAAAACAAAGAAAGGAAAAGAAGGAAGGAGGAAAGCCCCACCTGTTCATCACCTCTTCCGTACAAGGCCAGCCACGTGGATGACAGGTTGAGCGCTGGCTGCCCCCATCTCCGTGTGTCACAAGGACCCACTTGCACGCAGCCAATAGGCAAAGAGGTAAAGAAAAGGAGGAGGAAACCAGACCTCACAGATGCAAATGAAAGAGAAAGGGATCCAATCAAAGAAAAGACAAGGGAAGAAAGCAAATGACACATCCCACAGATAAGCCAATTGCCACTGTCACTACAAGGTTCAACATATTCTTTTATTTTATTCTTTCTTTTTTCTTGTTTTCTTTTTCTTTTCTTCAGAAATTCGTACTTTTTCTTTCTTTCTTTCTTTCTTTTTGTTTCAATTTTCTTTTTTCCATCTTTCTTCAACTCCACATCTGTTGCTCCTGATCGCTTGATTCTATTGATCAGTCAGGAAGAGGAGCCCCCACCTCGGCAGATAGGACAGGCACGCTGAGGATGACGTGGATGTTCACAAGGATACCCAAGGAGAGCTACTTCAGCACAGCATTCAGCCTGTCTCTTATACACATCTAGATGTGTATAAGAGACAGGCAGGATGCTGTCCACATATATATCGTCACAAACAGAACTGCCCGGTAAACCGTAGGCAGAGAGAGAGAAGAGGACAACAAACGAGGGGCTGTGACAAACTGTTTCGTCGGAGTTTCACCGACTCATCAGAAGGCTGAACCCTAACAGTCTGCAGAATCCCCTCACTGATTACACTGTAAATGATAATCTACCTTAACCAAAATCAAAGTAGACTATCACTCACCCACACCAGATGGAAATACATATATCGTCCCTCTCTGCCTACGGTTTACCGGGCAGCTCTGTTTGAGGATATATAAACACACACGATATATGTGTACATAAATATATCATCACAAAGATATCAGAGCGCAAAAGCGAAAAAAACAACAAAAAATCAATTCATTTTTTATCTTCTTACTTACAACTCCCCCTGTTCAAAACCTCTTGCGTACAAGGCCGCCCACGTGGAGATATATTGTCGCAAAATTATCAGAGCGCAAAAGCGAAAAGAAAACAGAAAGAAAACAAAAAAATCAATTCATTTTTCATCTTCTTACTTACAACTCCCCCTGTTCAAAACCTCTTGCGTACAAGGCCGCCCACGTGGATATATATATTATGTAGATTCTGCAGTCTGTTGAGGGTTCAGCCTCCTGATGAGGCGGTGAAACACTTACCTTAATATAAATGAAGTAATCCGATTCCCGATCCCGACTCTAGATCCCGACAGCTCCGATCAGAAATCCCTCCAATCGGAACCGCAGCTATACATTTAAGAGGTTCTGAACAGGGGGAGTTGTAAGGAAGAAGACTAAAAACGAATTCAGTTTTTCTTGTTCTTCTTGTTTGTTTTTCGCTTTGGCGCTCTCATATCATGTGACAATATATATTGTCACATGAATATCAGAGCATACAAGCGAAGAAAAGAAAAAAGAAAAAAGAAAAAAGAAAAAAGAAAAAAGAAAAAAATGATTTTTTTCCCCTTTCTGGCTACCGTCTTCACCTGAATAGAACGCCCGGTAATTATGACTGTACCTCGCCTGGAAGTTGCACCAAATGCAGCTATAATGACCGGGCGTTCTATTAGGATGAAGACGACAGTTCCCTGTGAGGGCAATGACTGTTCTGCACAGCCCCCCGACCTACTCAGGGTGGGACTTGAAGGGGGGTCCCCTCCCCCGCCTGGACCCTGACCTCAGCATTTAAAAACCAGAACTGAAAATTAAAAATTAAAAAAAAGAAAAAAGCTTACGTACTCAGGGGACAAGTCCCACTAGCAGCGTTGAGCTACCTCAACGCCTGAATCTGGACGCTTTTGCGGAGATGTGCAGAAATGGTGTTGAGTTTCCTGAACTGCACGTCTCCAGAAACACGTCCAGGTTCAGCCGTTGAGGTAGCTCAACGCTGCAAGTGGGACTTGGCCCCAGGGGAGGCCCTGAGGGTCCATGAGTACGTAAGTCTGGCCTGGGCTGATGTCACCCCTGAACACTCGGTGAAAGTTCGACAGAACCTTCTGTAACACTGCCCTTTTTCCCCCTCCCCGCCTGGATTCCTCGTGCTGTACCCGCCGATCAAGACCCTGACCTCAGAATTCAAAAACTACCAAAATAAAAATTGAAAATCGAAATTGAAAGTTGAAATTGGAAATTGAAAAAAAAAAAAAAAAAAAAAAGAGAAGATTACAAGGATGGATCAACGGCCAGAAACATATGATAGTGATCCAGATGAGTTTAAAGATAACCATAATAGTAAAATAGAGTCTCGATCTACTACACGCTACTGTAAATGTATCTGGACCTCCCATTGTCCCTATACATCCTTGAATGTTGGATAGGTACGAACGTATCTGGTCCGCGTTTCAGGCCGTATACATGTGAGACTGTCGTGTAGCGGAGCGAGGGGCATAATAATCGAGATAAGTGGGACCTTGGGCCCACCTGCTGCTGCTGGCAATCGGGGACGAGTGTATATTTTTCCAAAAACTGGAAAGATACATACACTCGTCATTTTCCACAATTTTTAGCCTGCGTTTCGAACGGCGGCCTCATGCGCTGATACGGGGAACAGAGCAGCGCTCTCTCTCCTACCCGTGCGCTTCTGCTAAAATACACACACCTGCCCATCACACCCCCCACCCGCAGAAGGACAAAAAAAAAAACACGCAGCACTGTTTCTACATGAAAAATCATGTCTTTTCAGTCACACGACGCACTTGCAGAAAAGAAGATGGAAAAAAAAAAAAAGCATACCGACAGATAAAAACCCGAAGAGAAGGTGAAATAGAGAAGGTAAAATAGAGAAGAGATAGAGGACAAAGGCCAAGAGAAACATTACGGTAAAGTAGAAAGTAGACGGGACACACAAAGAGAGAGAGAGAGAGGGAGGGACGGGGGACAAAACGGGGGGGTTAAGAGGGTGAAGGTACTCACTACATAATTTATCAATCATTACTGCGTCATTTATTACTCATAATCATTCATCATTAATGTGCCATCATCATCATCATCATCATTAATGTACCATCATCATCATCGTCATCATCATCATCATCATCATCATCATCATCATCGTCGCCATCATCATCATCATCATCATCATCATCACACTGTCGTTCATCATTTTGACCATCATCAACTGAAATACGACCGCACCACCACCACTATTACCATCACCACCATCATCATTGCTCATCATCATCATCATCATCATCATCATCATCATTGCTCATCATCACTCGTCACCCATCACTCATCATCATCATCATCATCATCATCACCATCACCATCACCGAGATCATCATCATCCCCATCATCATCATCATCATCATCACCATCACCATCATCACCCTCCTCATCATTGCTAATAATGACTCATCATTACTCATCATTATTACCGAGATCAATCATCATTCGTCATCTTCATCAACGTGAAGATGATGCATCACCAAATTCCTCCTCGTCCTCCCAATCATTATCAAATGGCATACAAGCGCACCATTGCCACCACCATCATCATCACCATCATCTTCGTCTTCAGTTGCTTGGTCGGAAAGTCTGGTGGTGCCACAAGGCGGATCTGGGGAGAAGCCCCCTGAGGAGTGAGTGCCAGGAGCGCAGCCTGGCCGAAACGCGTCGGGGAAATTGCGCGTTTTTTTCTGAGAACTGCACATGCGGAGAAGAAACGTAAATCTGTTGATGCGTGTACGAGAAGCAGTCTATGGCCACGGTTTTCACTATTCGTCTTCATCACAGTTATTATCATCACCATCCTCATCGTCCCCGTCGTCCAAACTTACCTTCCAACGCCTACACATAAGTCAATCTAACCTTGGTTCAAACGAGTCTCTGGAATTTTTATTTTGATTGTACGTATTTATTGGGGACAGCGCGAATGGCCGACTGATTTTTTGTTTTTTCCCTTCAAGGATTCGAACTCGGATTCTTTCTATTCACACTAAGTTACATTGGTGTGTGAAGTCTCTGGTTCTTTTCTCCCTTTTCTCCCCCCCACCCCCCACCCCTCGCTTTCGCTCTCCTTCAGTTACCTGCGGAGTTAGCGCGGTCGCGTAGATGACCGGATCTGGCGACGAGGCCACGTTAGGCGTCGGGATCGGGGAGGGAAGCGCAGAGGCGGCATCGGGACCGGCAGAGGAAGGACTGGAGGAAGAGGAGGCGGACACCCTCCCGCGCGCAAAACCAGACACGTCATTACTGACTAAGCCCTGGAGGAAGTTGAGAAGATCCCGCCCACTCAGCCGCGCTACCCCGCGGCTGCGCAGCCGCGCAACTGCCCCCCCGACATCCCCTCGTGCGGCTTCCGCGCTTTCCCCACGCGCCACGTCACAGTCGCCGCTTCCGCTAGTGTGAAAGAGCCGATCGCCGCCCCTCACCGACTCGCGCGGCCTCCCCGCAAGCAGGTCGGAACATCGAACCCCCACGGCCCCGCCTCTCTCCGCAGCTGACGCTCGGCGACAACCGAGCCTCTCTCCGACGCTCCGCGCAGATGATGCACGACATCCGCCGGCGATGGCGGTGGGCACTTTCGCCACAGCCCGACGCATGCTGATACCACGTCGGCGTCGAGTCTTTTTTTTTCGCTTTGTTCCTTTTTCGAGCGGATATATTGGTCACAACGAGAGAACGTCAAAAAAAAATAACGAAGTAGCAGAAGACAGGAAATGGTAAGGGAGGACAACAGGAAGAGGGCAGGCAGAGAGGGAAGCTACCAGGTGATGAGGGACGAGAATAAATCAGAGGAAGAAACGCAAGGAAGAGATGAAGCTCTCGAGTCGAGAACGGGACATCATCATCATAGAAAAGATTAAGGGCCTCGCCGCACTACTCACCAATGTGCCGAAAAAAAAGACAATCCAGCGACCAGCTCAGTTGGTAAGGCTGGCAAGTGGCATTCAGGATGACATGGGTTCAATCCCCACGCCTTCATGTACCTTCCTGAGCATGCCTGGCGCCCACCACCTAGAGAAAGATCGCTGGATCCCCCGATCGGCATTGAGCAGGCACAGGGATTGGTTCTGTTGGCATAGTCCCTGATGCTACCGGCTGTCCCCTGGCCGGTATCGCCCACCTGCAGGTCGGAACAGGCCCCGCATGTTCTCTTGTGAGCATGGTTCTGGCTGCTACGGGGTCCACCGTATGGTTATAATTAGTTGTCGTAGTTTTTTTGTTTTTTTTTTTCGGGAGGCCTGCACGGGAGAGTCCTGCAAAGTAGGCAGTGTCAACTCCCGACTAGACTGTGCCCCGGCAAAAATTGGTACGCACTACGGCGTGTGGCGGGTCTTGCGCCGCCACGTTATTTTCCTTACTCATTAGTTTAAGGCAATTAGTTGTGGTAGTAGGTAGGTAGTGTAAGGCAAAATTGTGAGAAGAATGTAAAATGAATTAGTGAAATAATTTGTAAATTTAGAAGCCGTGTGAATTTAAAATTTCACGCACWGTTTGAAATGAAATAATAGAATTCTGATTTTTCGAATCAACTCTAAAGGAGTCGTTACACACTCCTCAGGCCGTCCTCGGGCTCCAAGGACAAATCCTCGGGGAAATTTTGGAATTTTGTCGGCATCGTTCCACCTATCCTTGGAGCGTCGGCTTTAGGACCAGTCCTAAGAGTGATGTCAAGAAACAAATAAAGGAAAGAAAGAAAAAATCAGTTATGCTTTAGGCTTTCTGCGGATATGGTGCAGTCACGATCCGGATTCTCAATTGTAATATACCACTACATGCATGCCCTTTCCTCTGCGTGAAACACAGATCCTCGGGCTCCAAGTGACCTCACGAGGTCCCTCGGAGCCAAGGACGATTTGGCTGGAAAATCATTGGAGCCCACGAATATATCCTTGAAGTGTTTTCACATTTTGATTTTGAATTTTATCTCCAAGGACAGGTGTAACAGCGACGAAATCCTTGGAATCGCGTCTAGAGGAGTGTCTAACTACGCCCTAACTCTCCTAAACCGATTGTTGCATTTTTGTCAGATATTTGAAAGTTATTCAAATATCAATTATAATATTTTTGATTGTACAACAAGACAATAATTACATCTTACAGATATTGGTTATACTTTGTATAATTGTAAAAGTTTTTTACGCTATGTTTGAAACGAGCATGAAACGTATTCTTACATATTTTCTTTAATTGTTCAGGCTGGATATCTATTAATTGGTATCGTAGCGGGTAAAATAATGGATGTGTTAGTTATTTAGTTTATATGATTTTTTATTTATTTATGAATATTGATGTTTTTCTTGTATTAAAAAGAATGATACTTCCACCATAAAATGAAAAGAGGCATTGTCGTGCTTTTAATTCTTTTCACATTTGGCGAGTGGTGCCTCGGCGACCTCATTACCATGACCTTTATGCAAAGGGATGATAACACGCATAAGTCGAAAATAGTTTACTGCGAAAAATTCAATTGTTGATGTCGGGGACCTCATAATTAAACCTTGATTATTGAGGGCATTAGTGAGCTTCATTTATAGTTAACCTTCTTAAAAAACATTTATCAAACTACATTCTATTCTCAATTCGTAAGCGATTTATCCCATCATTCAAGTTGTTGATCTGCCTCCTGCATTGTGGCAGCTTGCTAGATGTATACTACATGATGGTTGCTAGCTTGAGAAATGTGGACGGGGGTTTCTTTTGTACTTGCATGGTCTTTTTTTCTTTTGGCAATGGACCGCAGACTCAACTTCGTCGATGAGACTCGACCAATCCTGTGCCACGCCCCGCTGAATGTAAGGGACGTCAGGCTCGGTACCCGACTTGTAAAAATATAAATCATATTTTCAGGATACAACATAAACAAGGGGTGATGATAACTTAGTTGGTTAGACACGCAAGTAGCATTCAGGAGGTCGGAGGCTCAATCCCCACTAACCACCTTTTGTACGTTTGGTGCCAACCAACTGATCGCTCCCCCCGTTCGGTATTAGTTGGGTCTTTGACCATCCCGGGTATGCATGTGTATGTGTGTGGTTTATGTGTGATGTAGTTGGTTTGCTCCTTTCGTTCGATATTGGTAGGATTTTTTACCATTACGGGCATGCGTGTGTATGTGTGTGGGTTGTGTGTTGTGTGTGGGAGAGTCCTGGCCATAGACACAACTGTTACTCGATGGGGGAGGGGGAAGTAGATGGGAGGTGCAGCGGCTGGTAAAATGCTTAGTCTTTGCGTTAACCACCCCCTCTCACCGGCGGCCTCACCCCACTCCCTAACCACCGCCAATTAGGGTGGGAGAAGTAGATGGGAGGAGCAAATACTGGTAAAATGTTTTGTCTTTGCGTTAGTTGACCCCCACACCGGTGACCCCACTGTACTCCCTAACCATCGCCGATTAGGGTCGGGGGCAATGTGCATCCCCTTAATTATGAGAGTTAGCTATGCTTGCATGGGTACCCTGTATAGGCTTACGAGTAGTCGTAGGTAGGTAGTGAAAAGTGAAATTGAGAAAATGATTTAGCTTAGTTCAAACCACAACTACCTCCGATCGTATTTTGTCGAACCTGAATTTCACCACGCGCTTCACGGTACTGTTATGAAAATAGATTTAATCACGACCTTCCTTTTCAAAAAATAAAAATAAAAATGATACTTTGGACGTCAAAGTCAAAAATGACATTTTGGACGTCAAAGTAGCTCGATGCAATCTCTACAGTATTTGTGTGAGTATGCCCTCGGTGATGGCGTTATATCAACATGGTAGGATTCAAAAACGAAAAACACTAAATAAATTGAAATGACGATTTGAACTGGATATAAGGTAGATACATGACCATAAGTAGTAGTGTGAGTATACCCTTTTTGAGACAATTGCAACAGTTTGTGGAATCTGCCCTGCCTCACTGACAGGGTACTAAAACAACAACAACAACACTGAATCATATCGTAGTAGCGATCATATACAATCCATGTTGTATGCCCTTGGGCATACACTTCTCCGACATCACAAACATCGATGTACTTCGTTATTTGTTTCTTTTTTCATTGGGCAAGCGGGTCCGGGTTCACAGGGCCTAAAATGAAAATTTTTCATTTTCCTTTCCTTGGAGGCTGAGCCATACTTGGACCCCCAAAAAACTGCGGACTGCTAGTTTTCCCATTTTTTCCAACATTGGGTGAGGTAGTGGCGATTAGACACACAAGTGGCATCCAGGAGGTTGTGGGTTCAATCCCCATGGTTGTCTATGGCACGCTCGGTGCCAACCAACCGAGATAGTCAGTTGGATCCTTCTAGTCGATATTAATAATGACCAAGGATGCCTACATCAAATTGACAAGTGTCCATTTTTATGAAAGTTTTATTAAAAAAATAAAAAAGAAATACACTACTTAGTTGTTCATCTATGTACATATATCCCAATCAACCACGAGGGCTATGTCTCAGACCTTTGCTTTTAAAAAAAAAGCAATCTCGAACCATTTTCTGACTTTTGATGCAGTCTCATTTTCTTGTCCTTGCCGCAAGACAGCTTACGAGAGAGGGATACAGACCCCGATCATTGTTATTAGATCTATGAGACAATGCACCACATTCGGTGTGTCTGTCCTGGATCTAGGAAGTGGAGGAAGTGGTGGAATGCAGACTGACTTTATTTCTCAGGCCAACCAGCATTCATCAGGGAGAGGTGATTCTATTCGGACACGTACCAGAGGGGGTCTCAACCTCAAAAGGGTGGGGGTATGTAGACTATGTGAGCAGGGCAAGCATGATTTGGGTGATTTGGAAAACAGAAATGAATTGCGGTTCAATGGCAAAGGTTTGTCAGAGAGCCACCTGGCGAGTCTGCTCAGGCAACTACTTAGTAGAGAGAAAGTTTATGTCGGATGGTGAAGGAAAGCGAAGAAGGGAAAATCACTACAGGGAAGTGTTTGGTTTGAGGATATGTGGTGTAGAGGAGGGCAGTTTGCCTCAGTTTCTGTTGAAGGTAGGTTAAAGATAGCTAGTTCGCTCAACAAAGCCTAGACCTGAACTTGCTCGCAACTTTGGGAGTAGGGGGATAGGTGAGTGTTACAATACGACCAGAGCACTCGGTTCCTTGCCACAATAGGTAGGCGGTAGGGAGTGTCATGGACTTCAGGAACCAAGGCTTTCAACCGGTCGCATTAGGATGGGATCAATGGACAAGCTAGGTCCATGTCAGACAATAGGTAGTTTAGGTTGATAGTTGAAGGTGGTTATTTGCCTTTTTTTTTTTTTTTTTTTTTTTTTAAATATATTTTCTCCTCATCGGTGGATAAATGTGATACATATACTTTTCTCTCACCTCACATATTTTAACTAGCTTTCTACCATGTCATGGAACATATCTTTGTTTCTTTCACCACCTACCACTACTCAAAAGGCTATACAGGAGACCCTTGCAAGCATAATTTTCTACCTCCCTTCAGTGATGAGAGGTTACCTCTCTTGAGGGAAAGAGGTAACGACATGTTTGTCGCTTTGCCCTAGCGTTTAGGGTGCAGGGTTGAGGCTGCAAGTGGGGCCCGACTAACTCAAGGACGTGCATTTCCCAATAATTTTGCCTCCTTTTCCATCACCCCCCACCCCCATCAAGTAGTAGTAGTGTCCAAAGCCAACACGCTCCCATACGCCACACGCAACCCTGTCCTTAGCTTTATCAAAGCTACCAGACCAACCTGAAATACTAGCATCCTACCCCCCTTTAGAACAATTTTAGTATTATTGCTCAAGAACATCATCCTCCTCCTCATTACTAAACCACTATATCTCTACCAATGCAAGCTCTGAAGGAGAG